TTTTACATTTACAAATGGATGCAAGTAGTGCTGACAGCAGTGTGCAGCAGCAGTGAGTGGAACCTATTCTTCAGAGTGGAAACAGTATTCCTTGGCTTTGGGGGATGCAACTGAAATCTGGGTGGGGCACAGCCAACCCCAGCACCCCCCTAGATCTGGCCATATGGACATGCACACTGTATTCATTCAGATGCCTTCTCTCTTTACAGGAGAAAAGCAACAGAAAAAAATGCATTCATTCTTTTGGCCAGAATATTAATTTATGCTGTCGATTAGAATGTATTAACGCGCGAACACACATAGTTTTAACACTTGTTTATGTGCATTTTTGTGTTTTTTCAGACCAAATGCTCCTCTAAAGAATGTGCAATTGATGTGTTTTTTTTTCTGCATCTATACACCCCTGCCTTATAGGTTTGGGAAAATAAATGTTTCCATTGAGTCCTAGACCTATAGTACAGGTAAATTGGTGTATCTGCTGTTGCATGGTTACTTTCTGCCAAGGCTATAAATTAACTACAGGAATAGTGAATTTAGATTAATGTTTTAATAACCCAAAACAAAGAAGCTACATGAAATTCCGGTATATGCAAACACAGTCACTGAAATTTTATATAAACTTTTATATAAACTTTAACATTTTAATGTCTCTTTAAAAGTCATTTTAAGGGCCTACTCACACTAAACCAATTTGCTGTGGTGCGAACGCAATATGGAATGTGTTAACATGTGTTGTGTTAAGGCAGTCTATTGGGCCATTGGGCTGCCACCGCAGCACAACAGATGTAAAAATGTGCATGACCCTTTATTCAAAACATATCACACCACAGTATGTGTGCTGCAGTGCATTGTGCACAGCACTCTCTTGTAATGTAGTGTGCGTTTTGGAACGCCCGCAATGCACTGCACATAGAACAGGTGCATTTTCAATTTTCAGTGTTCGGCCATGCAACACTGGACTCAAATGAATTTTATAGCATTGATAGCATAGAGCTTTCTTTTCATGGTATTTAATAACCACTGGATTTTTAAAATGTTTTATTATGTAACACAAAAAGGGCAAAATTGGTAAAAAAAACAGCATCTCTTTCTTTCTGCTTTAAAACATAGCAAATAGAAATGGCAGTACAGAAAGCCCCAAATGACTCCTTTTTATAAAGTAGGTACCCCACAGTGATCTAATTCTTTGCCATGAATTGTGTACTATTGTGTTGGTCTCTTTGACTGGTCACAGTGATCACATGGTACAGACAGGGCCAATTACAGTGTATCTGTAACATGTGATAGCTGTGGCCAATCACAGCTTCACTATAGTACACACTGGATGCATGCAATTCATAAAAAATGATTCCTTATAACAGTGATATTCACTGTTATAAGCAATCATAGGGTTGGAAAAAATCAATGGTGATTAAATACACCAAAAGAAAGTTCTATACGTTTTTTCAAGCCAGATAGAGCTTTCTTTTGGTGGCATTTACTCGCTACTGGGTTTTTAATTTTTTGCTTAAAAAATTCAAAAAAATTTCATTTGGGGACAATGTTGAATGATTGAGTAATTGTCATTTAAAGTGTGACGACGATGAAAGATGAAAATTGGCCTAGGCAGGAAGGGGGGTGAAAGTGTCCGGTATTAAAGTATTGAAGTGGTTAAAGATGTACGGGGGGTAGGTAATTGGTTAAACTATACATCTGGATACACTTAAAGATGCTTACCTCTTTACATCTACTGATCATGTACCTTTCTCTGAAAGTATGTTCGTGATATGATCAGTTAGAATAACCTGGATTGTGACAGGGTTATTTAAATGCTGTCTTCTGTGGTTCCATTATAGAGGTTGGTTGTGCAAGTACTGGCTGTTTACTTGAGCAATGTCCCACTCCATATTTTTTATGTACCATACTACGTGATACTTTCTAATTTTAGCAGTCTATTTTGAGTCTCAAAAGTCTCCCTGCCTGCCTACCAGACAGTCAGATATCAATGTCAGTCTCTTGCTTTAATGCCAATCTCATTTTAGGAGCTGAATGCTCAGTCTCAGTAGATAGTTTTGATGTTTATTTTCAGCCTCATACCTGTAATAAGTGCCTGCAGGGAACCAGACTCACCCAGGCCTTAGTGGAAGAATGGACATTCCAGTCTATGATCCTGGAGAGATGACATGCCCAGTGATATTTTTGGAAATCTGGGAGTTCGATCCCTCCCCTGGATTTAGGGAGCACCAATTGAGCGAAGGAGAGATGCGGACGTTTGTGACTCCAGAGAAACTGAGAGCAAGTCCGTCTGGATAGAGTGAAAAATGCAGGGGGCAAGTGGATTGCAAGGCTTGTAGTAGATAGAGGAAACAGAGGAGGATGTTCATCTTTAATATGGCTTCCCTCCCAAACCAAGAGAAGGAGGGTGTATGCCAGTTCAGTAGGTCAGATTGGATAGAACAGAGAGCTGGAAGGAAGTTTATTTCATTGAGTTCGGAAAGGTTATGTGGAAGTTGAATACCCAGGTATGTGATGGCGTCAGCTTTCCGGATGAAGGGAAAATGAGATTGGCAAAAAGAAACCAGGTCTGCGGAGTGGGTAATGTTCAGGGCATGTGATTGGTAAAATTGATCTTTAATTTTGAGATACTCTGGAAGTATGCAAAGTCATTAAGTAAGTTAGGTAGAGTGAGACAGGGTTCGGACAAGAAGAGCAAAATATCATTCGCATATGCAGCTATTTTGAATTCACGACCTGAGACTGAGAGGCCTTTTATGTATATCTTTCTTGGATCAGAGTCTGCGGAGTACTGGTTCAAGCGTCAGAATGAACAGCAGCGGTGAAAGGGGGTGATCTTGACACATACCGTTCCGGAGGGAGAAAGCATCCGACAGGTGGCCATTCACATGAACCTGGGCTTTTAGGTGGAATAAAGGGCCATATAAAGGGTTCAGCATATTTTCCCGAAGACCAAGGGCCTTTAGGACCGCCGCCATATAGTCCCAAGCCACCCTGTCGAATGCCTTCTCAGCATTCAGGGAAAGGAAGAATCCACTACTTATAGAGGTATGCAACCAGCGGTGGAGGTTCAGGGCCTTAATGGTATTGTCCTTGGCCTCCTTCCCAGGGACGAAATCCACCTGATCATTATCAATTAGGGAAGGAAGGACAGGGAGAAGGAGATTAGCTAGAACCTTAGCATAGAATTTGACATTGACGTTCAATAGTGATATGGGCTTGTAGTTAACCACGGACTTTGCGTCCTTATCTCCTTTGAGGATGACCATAATGTACGCCTCTAAAAGATGATGTTGTGAGTTAAGGAGCTTAGAGAATGTGTTGAAGGCCAATAAGAATGGGGTTTGTAGAATATCTGAAAAGGTTTTGTAGAAAGCTCCAGAGAGACTGTCAGGGCCAGGGCTTTTTCCTGGCTTCAGTTGTTTCATTGCCTGTTAAACTCCGTGGTTGATATAGGTCATACCAGATCTTGGGTTGTATCAGCCGAAACAGGTTTCGGGCTGTATAGGTGTAAGAAGTTGGAAATCATGCAGGATCTGGAATCTCCACCAACATGGAGCAGGGAGTCAGAGGGAAAATTATATAGATTATTATAATAACACTCAAATTGAGAAGCAATATCAGCATTTGAAGTAGCTATGGATCTGTTACTGCCCCGTATTTGGTGGACTGTCATGCAAGCTTTCTTTGAGCGAAGTGCTCTTGCAAGGAATTTACCAGTCTTATTAGCATGCTCATAAAAGAGTTTTTGAGTCAAAAAGTACTTACGTTTTGTCATTTTGCCCAATTGTTCTAAAAGCTGGGAGCGTGCATCCGTCACGTCTTTAAGAGTTTGTGATGCTTGAGTGTGTTTATGGGTTCTCTAGGAAAGCAATATGATCCAGTAAGGTATGTATGCGGGTTTGCCTTTCTCGCTTGCGTTTAGTGGCTAGAGCAATAAAAGTTCCACGTATGACACATTTGGGCTTCCCACTGTGTCAGGGGAGAGGTGTCCGGAGTACTGCTCGAGTTAAAATACCCTGTGAGTTCAGTACGAATAGTAGCCTCGTGAGATTTGTCAGATAAAAGTGAAGCATCCAATCGCCACGTTTTGGTGTAGGTCCGTCATTCAGGGAAATGTAATGTAAGCGTGATAGGATGATGGAGGAGATTCTCCTTCTGTCAGTGGGACAGGAAATAAAGGGAAATCTCCTCTAGGGGGTTACAGACAAGGGTTTTCCCATTTGCTAACCAAAACTGCAAAAAAAAAAAAGTTTTGGCTGGTATTATTGGTATATTTTGTGTTTAACCGCTTAAGGACCACCCTTTAGCAGATATACTGCTACAGGGCGGCACCTGTGTGCAGAATCACGTGTGTGTGTGTATATATATATATATTGTGGGGTTAGCTCAGGTGGGGGATCTCCTTCCCTGGGAAAAAGGTAGACCGCACAGCAGGCTTTTTTTTAAATCTGACTGGTCGTCGGTTTTATTCAAAGGTTTGCAAAATATCAAAACAAACAAAACAGAAAAATAACCTCTTGCCATCCAGGCACTAACTAAACATAGAACTTTTCCTCTCTCACTGGTGAAGCACTTCTCCGTCACCAACCAAAACAAAACCATAAGCAAACCTTTTCCCTTGTTTGTATAACACACACTTTCATGCACAGCTCTCAGGAATGGCTCTCTGAGTCCCAGGCCACGAGCAGCTCCTTGCGCCAGCCCTGACTTATTTATAGCACCTGCTGGTGGTCATCAGTGGACCACAAAATCAGGTCCGGAACCACCTCTGCCATAGTGGCCCAGAAAACCTGGAGTGGACTCCACCTTAAACTCCCAAGTATGTGAGGTGACACATAGCGTCCATCGATCACCTCGCCATCCATACTGTCACATACATACATTATATATATATATATATATACACACACGTACGTACGTGATTTTGTATTTCCGGGTAGGGGACGCACGCAAGCCCTACCCGTGCCGCCATTCGCGGATGTCAGTCACCGGGTCCTAGCCAGTAATTACCCGATGGCACCCGGTGATTACCGAGCATCTCCGACAGGGAGGAAGATTGTTTTGTTTACAAACAATCTTCCTCCCTGTCAGCTCGAGCACACTGCTCAGGATGGCTGTGCACAGTACAGCCATCCCAATTAGTGTGCTTACAGTGAAGAACACACACCTGCCCCCTAGTAAAACACTCCCAGCACACAGTTAACCCTTTGATTGCCCCTCACATTAACCCCTTCCTGCCCAGTGCCATTAGTACAGTGTCAGTGCTTTTTTTTTCAGCGCTGATTACGGTATTGGTGTCACTGGGGTGTCAGTGACACCAAGTTAGTTCTCCCCCAGTGTCAGAATGTCCGCTGCAGTCTCGCTAAAAGTCGCTGATTGTCGCCATTACTAGTAGAAAAAAAAAAATCCCATTATCTATACTTCCATTTGTAAACGCTATAACTTTCATGTAAACCAATTAATTTACACATATTGGGATTTTTTTTTTTAGCAAAGACATGTCGCAGAATATATTTTGGCATAAATTTATGACGAAATTTGATTTTTTTCAACTTTTTTACTGGACATTTTTAATAGCAAAAAGTCCAAAATATTGTTTTTTTTTTCTCAAAATTTTCGTTTTTTTCTTGCTTATAGCACAAAAAATAAAAACCGCACAGGCGATCAAATACCACCAAACAAAAACTCAATTTGTGGGAAATAAAGAACATAAATTTAATTTGGATGTAGTGTTGCATGACCGCACAATTGTCAGTTAAAGTAACTCAGCGCCGTAAAGCAAAAATGGCCTGGTCAGGAAGGGGGGTAAATCCTCAGGAGAGCAAGTGGTTAAATACAGGATGTGTAATAATTTAGGTATATTTTTATATGCAAAAAAAAAAGTAATGCTCAGCACATAGCCATAGCTCATGAATATATTTACTAATTACATAACAACAAATCTAGTGCTTGTGTTTATTAGTCTACTTCATGCTTCAATATTCAACCAATGAAAGATAATTGTGTGCTGATTTCTACGGGTAGCTATGGCAAATAATCTCTCAAGTGTTTAGCAGCATGAACATTATTTGGAAATGTACACGTCTCTGTATTATGCATTAAGACCAGGTTCACATCTGTCTGTGTGTGAAGTACTGCACTTAAAAATGCAGTTATGCATTTTGAATGGTTCCTTAACGCACATAAGTATCCATACATTGAGGTTCAATCAAGCTATAAAGTTAACACGAATGCCTTTGTTATGATATAATAGACTTGAAAAAAAAAAAAAAATATATATTTTTTATATATAGATATTTATACTGTGTGTGTATGTATATATCAGGGGCGGACTGACCATTCAGAAACTCGGGCTCTGCCCGGGGGCCCGGGGTCATTAGGGGGCCCCATGAGATGCCCCTGGTACCTTTTTCATAGGCTTTTTTGAGTTTGGGCAAGGACACAGGGGCCCCCATGATCCCCTATTGCCTGGGGGCCCCATGAGTTGTCAGTCCGCCCCTGGTATATATGTATGTGTGTAGGTGTATGTATATATACATATATATATATATATATATATATATATATATATATATATACACACACATATACACACACACATATCTATATATATCTATCTTGCCAGGTATTATGATTGTCTATGAATAGCTGGTATTTTCATATGCAGCCATGTAACCAAGAGGTGGAGCTCTCAGCTCCTTTTTAAATGTTTTCCTGGCATTCCTTAGTCAATACGTTTAAATCAAAGCTTGCTGTGTACAAAATGCAATAGCTCAAACATAAATTTATTTCATTTCAGTTCAGTGAATCATTTCACTCCCTTTCCTTTTCTGTCAGGCTTTTCATTCAAGCCATAGGTATCACACATGCTGTATGTGCACTTTGTACCAAATGTTGATTTGTAAAACAAGGATTTTATATACTGTACATAGCTAAAAAAATGTAATACATCAGTTTAGAAACGTATAAAACTTAATAAAGAAGGTTCTGTACTAAGCTAAGTGAGCAAACTGTCTCCACAAACAGCATTACACCTAGTCATATTATACATATATTATTTCTAGTATATCACTATACTGTGTTTTTTTAATTAATTTTAATTTTTAGTTACTTTGTCATTCTGGGTGCGATAGTAGTGGTTTGGGCTTAGATTATGGGTGTGCCTACATTGCACCTAATATGGGCCTTGTCTAAAAGGAACATAGTTAAATTAGTTGTAAACCTCAGACATGAAATATCAACAAAGCATATCTCTCTATAGTGTGTACTTGTCTGAATACAGAGTACTAAGTGTAATTTCTGTCTGCTACATCACTCCTCTGCTATAAGGATGAGTCAGTTCTGACAAGTTTTCCTGACACCAAGAGAAAAATGGTGACAGGGGAGGGATCTCCAGCAGATTAGCAGCCTCAGCTCTGTTCCTGTGTGCTGTGTGAAGGAGGTGTGTTTCTTCCCTCCAAGCAGCTCTCAGAGCTCTCCTCACTAATGTAACTTCTGCTCTCCTCCCCCTGCTTTTCAGAGCTGAGAGACGCTGTGTAAAATCTGCACTTTGAATGGACAGACGGCTGTAGATATACATGGTCAACTTATGTAGGAGGATTTGTTTAATTTCTGTGTATCACCTGAGGCCAATCACTTCACTGGGTATATGGAAGGGTTTACAAGCACTTTATGTAGAGTCCAGGGGTGGACTGACAACTCCTGGGGCCCCCAGGCAATAGGGGATCATGTGGCCCCTGTGTCCTTGCCCAAACTCAAAAAAGCCTATGAAAAAGGTACCAGGGGCATCTCATGGGGCCCCCTACTGACCCCGGGCCCTCAGACGGTGCCCGAGTTTCCAAATGGTCAGTCCGCCCCTGGTAGAGTCTGAGCCTTCACATAGTGTACATGCACAGATATGCCAAAGTCCCTATACCCACAAAATACTCTTTAACCACTTGCCCGCTGCCCTATAGTAGAACTACTGCTACACGGGCTGCGCAAAATCGCGCACATATATGTGATTTGCATATCTAAGTAGGGGGCTACGGATGTCAATCACCGGGTCCCGGCTGGAGATTCCCCGCCGGCATCCGGCAATCGCCAAACGAAACTGACAGGGGAGAGACCTGTGTGTAAACAACACAGGTTTCTCACCTGCCAGAAAAGACATGCTGCTTTGTATTCCTCTGCACAGCAATAGCAAGAGATATACACAGCAGCATGTTTCCTTAGTAAAACACACACAGCACATAATGGAAAACACAGCACAGCACACAGTTAACCCTTTGATCGCCCCAGATGTTAACGCCTTCCTGCCCAGTGTCATTAGTATAGTGTCAGTGCTTTTTATTAGCATTGATCACTGTATTAGTGTCATTGGGATGTCAGTGGCAATTTGCCAGTTCCCCCCAGTATCAGAATGCCCGCTGCAGCCCCGCTATAAATCACTGATTGCCGCCATTACTACTATGTAAAAAAAAAAAAAAATTCCAATATATACCGCCATTTATAGACACTATAACTTTCATGTAAACCAATTAATTTACACGTATTGGGATTTTTTTTCTAGTAAAGACATGTAGCAGAATACATTTTGTACTAAATTTATTAAGAAATCAGATTTTTAAAATTTTTTTAATTGATATGTTTTATAGCAAAAAGTAAAAAATATAGTTTTTTTTTCCAAATTGTCAGTCTTTTTTTGTTTATAGCGCAAAAAAATAAAAACCGCAGAGGTGATCAAATACCAACAAAAGAAAGCTCTATTTGTGGGGGAAAAGGACATACATTTTCATTTATGTACAGCGTTGCATGACCGTGCAATTGTCCATTAAAGTAACGCAGCGCCATATCGCAAAAAATGGCCTGGTTAGGAAGGGGGGTAAATCCTCTGGAGGGCAAGTGGTAAGTACTGTGCAACAAAGAGTCAAATGCACGTGTACTTCTCGGGACAAGGGATATTTTTTAATTTTAAACTCTTACAATAAATGTGCAGGTGCAAAGTTTCTTGGGATGCATCTCTTAGGCTACGTTCACACTAGCCTTGTTTTCAAGCGGCAGAAAGGCGTTTTTTACCGCTTCCCAAATGCCTTGGACAATTCTGCTCATTGCAGCACATGGTGCTGTTCTAACGGGAGCGGTAGCATCGCGGTGCCTCTGGTCGAGTCAGGAGGCGTTGAAGCCTCCTATCCTAGTCTATGGTGCCGCTCCGCAAATGCCCGGCCGGTTGCGACACGGTTGCGGGGGTGTTTGCGGAGCGGTAACACCATCCAAACTTCATTATAGGTGTTTGTGGGGCGTTTTTAATGCTCGGCAAACGCCTAGCAACCGCTGCTGAACTGCGCATGCAGCATTCGCGGAGCGTTAAAAAACGCTCTGCAAACGCCAGACCAACGCTTTCCAAACGCTATAGGGGCATTTGGCAAGAGTTGGTAAAACAGTCAAGTGTGAACGAGCCCTTAGGTTAAACTACTCTCCTCTGTTGGTGTTAACCCAATGTCATTACCGTCTGTCAAATGACAACTGGGACTTGCTATGTATTAAATAGCAGGAGCAGTTGTCAAAATGCGGCCTCTCCTCTATAAAATTACACTTTCAGATAGGCTGCAAGCGTCATTGAATAATGCAATGTATTTTTCATTGTATTTACTACTTCATTTATATGTAGATGTATGACCTTTGATCCTTCAATGACATCAGTTAAAGAAACCTTACAAACCTTTTTTTAAATAAAATTATTTTCTCTGTAACATTCTATTAACCCTTAAAGTATAACTAAAGGGAAAACATTTTCTTTTTTAGAATGGAGATGGATTAGAACACCTGTCTGTTTTTTTGCTGCCCATGCACACATTATGGAGATTCACCCTCCCTATTTAGCTTGTTTGCCATGAATACATGAAAGAGTGAAAAGTGTGAATTGAATAGTGAAGGTAAAAGAAAATTCCAAATTTTGGGTTGTCACCAGAACAGAAATAGAGGGCAAATGTTCCAGTGGGGTTCTGGTGACCTTGGTGAGCACCAGGAATGTCTTTTTTTTTGGAGGGATTTCCTTTCACATAGTGTTTTTGATGCGGGACAGGAAGTGAGGAAAATCTCCCCAGAGGGACGCAGAGGTGAAAAAAAAATGACAGGGTTTGTGACCTAGCATATAGAGTATGTAAATAGAAGTATGAAATATACAAGATAGCATACAGAGTGCAGTAGTAAGGACTAGTAACTCACAACATTGTGTATGGAACGCAATACAGATACAGCGTAGCGGTTAGGAATACACAAAATGTGGTACAGCATAATGTATAGAGTGCAGGGGTCAGGACTCAGGAGAATGTAATGTATAGCACAGTGTACAGCACAAACTGTCATGCCAGGATTATATCACATAGTATTAGTCAGTACTGGTCAGTAGGAAATAAAATGGCCTGGTGTTAGTTAGTGAGATCAAAAAGATGCCCCAGTGTCAGTGGAAGATAAAATGTCCTTGCATCAGTGGTAAGCTGCAGAAAGAAAGTCAGTGACTATTGTAATGATGAATAATTCAGTGTCTGTAGTAAATGGAAGGAAGAGATGCCCTGGTGTCAATGACCCTTGGTAGAAAGAATGCATCAGTTCTAAGTAGTAGAAAAAGATACCCCAGGGTTGGTGGTTTGTGGGAGGAGAAATGCCCCACAGTTGTATCAATGGGAGGAAGGACCCAAAATTGATGTTCAATGAAAACAGTTCTCCCAGCATTGATATTAGTGTTAGGGACCAGCTGGTGGTAGCCTCTAGTGTTCCACAGACCAGAATTCCCCAGGGCGCGGAATCTAAGTTCCGACCTGCTTGTTCACTAGAGCCCCCGATGGTGGGGATGGACTTGGAGCAAGCCGAGACCAGGTCGCGACCCCTGGGTGCAACCAGCTGTGGTAGAGGCACCTGTCGGTGGTACGCAGCAGGTGAGAGTCTGATGTGAGGAGGTAGAGTAAGCAAGGTCAGACAGGCCAGGTCGGTAAGAGCAGAGCAGGTCAGTACAAAACAGCAGGCAGAAGAATAAACGGGTCACGGTCCGGGTTTGGCAACAGGAGATCAAAAGTGCAGGAGCAGGCAGGAGAATGGTCAGACAAGCCAGGGGTCAGAGCAGGATACGTCAGCAGATCAGGATCAGGTAGGGTCAGCAGCACCGTAAACTCACAGGAACACAGGAAAGACCATACAGCACTTGAGCATTGCAAGAGCTGGGTTTAAATAGCCCACCCGACTCCTGACAGGCGCTCCTGGGTCCTAGTGCTTGTCCGGCGCCGTCATTGGTGAGAGGCGTGCCTGGGTCCTAGTGCCCGCCTGCCTGTACGTTTTGTCAGGATTCTACACACGTGCGGATTAGATCGCCGCGGCGATCTTCCCATTCCCTGACATTGCCCCCCCTTACGGGCAGCCTCCGGATGCCCAACCGGTTTCTCCTTTGAGGCTGGTTGTGAAGGAACTCCCGAATTAACCGAGGGGCATGAACATTTCGAGCAGGTTCCCAAGAGTTTTCCTCTGGCCCATAGCCTTTCCACTTGATGAGATACTGTGTCCTCCCCCCCCCCCCCCCCCGGCCTGCAGTCAATAATAGCCTCCTCCTCAAATTCCTCTTCCCCATCGATGTCTATGGCCTCTGGGGGTCTAGATCTATGATCTGTAAAAGGATCTGCTACTGTGGATTTCAGTAGGGACACATGAAACACAGGATGGATTTTGAAGGACTCGGGGAGTGCCAGCTTATATGCTACCTCATTAACATTACGGTCTACCCGGAAAGGACCCACAAATTTGGGTGCCAACTTTCTCGATGGGCACGCCAGTTTCAGATTGGTAGTGGCCAGCCACACCTGGTCCCCTGGATGTATAACCAATTCCCCCCTTCTCTTTCTAGCAAATATCCTTGTACTGTCCTCCTGGGTTTTTGCCATGGTTTCTTGTAATAACTTGTTATTGGTTGTAAAGAAATTCAGGGTCTTTTGAGCTGCTGGGACTGTTTTTTCCGGGATCAAATCAGGTAAGAACGAGGGATGGAAGCCATAGTTGGTGAAGAATGGGGATTGCTTAGTGGCAGAGTGGCAAACATTATTGCATGCAAATTCTGCTAGGGGTAAAAGTGCCAGCCAGTTGTCCTGGAGGAACGATGTATAGCACTTAAGGTACTGTTCTAGTGTCTGGTTGGTTTGCTCAGTTTGACCATTTGTTTGCGGATGGTATGCTGAGGAGAATGAAAGTTCAATTTCCAACCCTTCGCACAAAGCCCTCCAAAACCTTGAAGTGAACTGAACACCCCGATCAGATACAATGTTTTTTTGGCACTCCATGTAGCCTTACAATCTCTCTGATAAATACCTGTGTCGTTTATGAAGCAGATGGTGTACCTCTCAATGGAAGGAAGTGAGCCATCTTGGACAACCGATCTACCACTACAAAGATCGCAGTATGGTCTTGTGATGGTGGTAATTCCACCACGAAATCCATTGTGATCATACTCCAAGGTCTGTCGGGCACTGGCAGTGGTCACAGCAGGCCCCAAGCCTTGTCTCTGGTGGGCTTGTTCCTGCTGCAGACAGCACAGGATTTGACATACATTTCGCAATCTTTGGCCATGCTTGGCCACCAAAACATGCGTTGGAGCCAGTCCAATGTCTTGTGTACCCCAAAGTGGCCTGCTAACGGGTGGTCATGGCAATAGCCTAAGACCAGAGCTCGCGTCTCGTTGGGTACCAGGATCTGCTCCCCCCTCCACAAGAGACCTTCCTTGTTCTGCAATGAGACTCCAGGTGGCCTAGGAGTCCCCGTGGAAGCAGCTTGAAGTCTAGTTAGGAGTTCAGACTGAAGTAGCAAAAAGCTACTCGCTGGCAGAATAGTATCAGGTTTGCCTGTCTCCCCAGGGTCCTCAAACATCAGGGAGAGAGCATCCGGTTTAGTATTCTTAGATCTGGTACGATAGGTGATGTACAGAGTAAACCTTGAGAAGAACAATGCCCATCTGGCCTGACTCGGCCTGAGGCGTTTTGCTGTCCTCAGATATTCTAGATTTTTATGGTCAGTATAGACCAGGATGGGATGCAATGCCTCTTCCAATAGATATCTCCATTGCTCCAGTGCTGTCTTAATCGCTAACAACTCCCGATCCCCGATATCGTAATTCTTTTCTGATGGGGAGAGTTTTCTGGAAAAGAAAGCCACTGGGTGCATCAACTCCTTCACGCCCATGCATACAGCCGCTCCAGTACACTCCTGACGTGATCTCTTTGTGTCTCCAGGGATGAGGAAAAAATCAGGATGTCATCCAGATACACAATCACATAGATGTCCAGGATGTCCCTAAAAATGTAATTCACAAAGTGTTGGAATGTAGCCGGTGCATTACAGAGACCGAATGGCATAACGAGGTACTAAAAGTGCCCAAAGCGAGTGCGGAAGGCGGTCTTCCACTCATCCCCCTCCCG